CCCGGTGGCGAGGATGGCGGCCAGCAGCTCGGGCAGGGCCTTCGGCCCCCGATAGGGCCAGTCGTCGAAGTCGACCGCGTTCATCTTCGCGATCGCCTCCCCGAGCGTCACCTGGAGCCCCCGACCCCGCCGCGCCAGCGGGAGGATCCGCGGGTCGCGTCCCGGGCCTCGGCGCTTCTCGGCGCGCCAGTCCTCCTCGTCGGCCTGCTGCACGTTCTCGACCGAGACCCAGCCCTCCTCCTCGCTGAGCATCGCGATGCCCACCGCGTCGCGGCTGATCAGCCGCTCCGGGTTCCCGATGAGGTGGAGGTCCAGCTCGCGCCCGAACTCGGGCGAGCCTGGGTCCGAGACGATCCAGCGCGGCACGACGCCGCCAGCAGTCCCAGCTGGGGCAGCGACGCCCATGACCAGGGCGAGGCCGCGCGCCTCCACGCGCAGCGCCTCGATGTCCTCGTCCGACTGATCGCCGAACGCGTAGACCTGCCCACGAACCCGGACCGGGAACGCGGACGCCCGGCGCAGGGGGACGACCAGGTGCTTGCTGAGGTCCAGCGTCAGCACCTCGCCGTCGGGAGTCGCCGCCACCCAGATGCCAGGGCTGAGCTGCTCGAGGAGCACCCTCTGGTGCCACCGGAAGTTCTCGTCGTCGTCGTAGTTCACGCACACCTGCGCCTCGGGCACGTCGAGCGTGCGCATCGCCGCCGCCGCCATCTTGCCGACGGCCGACGATCAGGCTACGCTCGCACTGCCCGAAAGCGGCGCTGCGCGCCGCCGTCCTGGCCCGCTCCGTCGTCCTCGACGAGCAGGGTCACGGGCGCCGCACCCTCGCGCCGCGGCGGGTCGGTCCCGCCGACGAAGAGCGAGGCGGCTCGGGCGGCCCAGCCCAGCGCCACGCGGAAGCTGCCACCGGCCGCGAGGCCAGCAGCCAGGGCGGCAAGGACCGCCCACCAGCCTGGCCCGGTCCCGCAGGTCAGACTGCAGTCCGGGCAGCTCGGGCAGCCCGGGCAGGGGGCGGCGGCCGCAGCCGGAGGGCACGCGGGGCAGGCCCCGCACGTCACGCGGGCCTCCGGGCACGCGGGACAGCGCGAGAGCCACGCGGTCGCGATGGAGGCCGCCCACGGGCCGGCTGCGGCCCACGGCACCACCATGCGCTGCCGGGGGCCCCTCGAATGATAGAGCTTGAGCAGGAGCGGTTTCGGAGCAGAGGGAGAGAGCAGCAGCAGGAGCAGCGAACGAGACGGACGCGGCTCCACTGCTCTGAAACTCCCGAGGCCACTCGCACTTAGGAAAACGAGTCAGAGACAAATCATGTAAATCGTACCCGATCCTATGTATGCGACACCCCTGTGCGTACACGATTTCTATGCGAATCGAATACGGATCCGGCGTGTATCCTCACGATCCCTGTGTGAATCGTATACGGATCCTTCCTGAATCATATGCGAATCCCATGTGAGTTGTTTACGATTCCCGTGAGAATCGAATACGACTCCGATGTGAATGTTTTACGACTCCCATGTGCACCGTATACGATTCCATTGTGAATCGCATACGGCTGCTATGTGAAGCGAGTACGATCTCTGTGTGAATCGCATATGAACCCTATGCGAATCGTAACGAACCCTGTGCGAAGAGTATACGGTTCCAATGTGGATCGTGGAGACTTCTATGAGAAGCGCACACGGATGCGAAGTGAATCGTATACGGTTCCAATGTGAATCATATACAGACGCATCATATTCACGCGAAACGTATAAAACCCAATGTATATCGTATGCGATGCCTGTGTGAAACGCATACTGCTCTTCTTTGACGATTGTAGAAATCCTGTGCGAAGCGTATAGGATTCCAATGTGAGTCGCATGCGCATGCTATGTGAATCGTCAACGATTCCTATGTAAATCGTGTACGGTTCCTATGTAAATCGCACGCGCGTCCTGCGTGAAGTGTATACGATTCTTCATGTGAATCGTACACGGTTCCTATGTAAATCGTATACAACTGCTATGTGAATCGTATACGAATCCTGTGCGCATCCTTTAGGATCCCACTGAATCGCAAACGACTCCGATGTGAAGCGCGCACGCGTGCTATCTGAATCGTATACGAATCCGATGTGAACCGCATACTGTTGAATCGTATACGAATCCCGCGTGTATCGCATACGTTCCCCACGTGAATCGTATACGAACCCTCGGTTAATTGTATACGTGTAAATCCTGTGTGAAGCGAGTGCGAATCTTATGTGGGTCGTATACGACTGGCACATGCATCGCAAGCAACTACTATGTGCCTTGCATGGGAGTCCTACGTGAATCGTACACGCCTCGTATGTAAATCGTAAACGCTTCTTCTGTATACGATTCCCCTCTGACTCGTCGACGCTTCCTATGTGAACAGCATGCCACATGGATCATATACGCTTCCTGAAAGAACCGTAACGACCTTTACAGGAAACCGAAGAAATTCAACAGAACCCCAAGGAGCCCCAAGGAATCTGACGCAATCCTTGAGAATCCGCAGGACTCCTCAAGAATCCTAAGGAACGTGCCGACACGAAATCCTGATGAAATCTTGAGGAGTCTGGTGGGATCCTGAAGGAACCCCAAGGAAACCTGAAGGAATCCTGAAATAATCATGAAATAATCTTCAAGAACCCTGAGAAACCATAATAAAGCTGAAGAAGCCCGCAGGAAGTCCAGAAGGATCCGCAGGCCCCGAAGCCCGAAAGCGCGAGAAACCTCCAGGACCCGTTTCCCTCAGGACCACTTTCATTCATGAGACATGAGGAAACGGACATATAGAGAGAGCGACACGGCGAACCTCGGCCACAACAAGACGCTAAAAGCAAAGAAAAAAAGAAAGAGGAGGAGGAGGAGGAGAGTGACTGATGGCGGCGACAAGGTGCGTAACTTTCGGGAGAACCTGGAAAACCCGCGCTGCGCCCCTGTCCCGGGGTTTCTGGCATCTGGCGACATTTCGGCGGCACACGTGGCGAAGCTTAGCATGCAAGAAGTACTACTTAAGACGTCTTCTGAGCCGTTCTAAGTCTTAAAAGCTCGTCTTAGAAACTACTACTTAAGACGTCTCCTGAGCACTTCTTACGAACGACTGTTTAAAACGTCTTCTGAGCACTTCTCCAAAATTCAACTTGAGACGAATCCGGATTACTTTTAGAGAAGTACTAAACTAAGACGTCTTCTGCGCATTTGTTTAAAAGTCTTACGTGTACTTATTAAGACATATTCTGGACACTTCTCAAGAAGTCTTGTATCATATTGTTATATATGGAAGACCTCTGATTAAGTAATGCTTAAAAGGATTATCAGCTGGGATTGGTACCAGTTCAGAAAGAATTGGTCAGCTGGGATTGGTACCAGTTCAGAAAGAATTGGTCCCCAACGGGCCGGGTTCGGGATCAATGAGCCGGGATTGGTCCCAATCCCAGGTCCAGCCCCCGCTACCCAGGGGAAGGGGGAGGGGGCGGGAGAGGGTGTTTGGCCCGGGTGACGACCGTTACGCGCCAGAGAGCTAAAATTAGGTCGGGCATGTCCTCCTCGATTCTGCAAGAAAAATCAAAATGACCCAAAAAAACAAAAGAGCACGACAAATCGTCACCAGACTATGTTGTCCTATTCTTGCATGCTCTTGAAAACTCCTCCTGTAGAGGGACATGCCCGACGTAGCTAAAAAACAATCTCGTGGTCGCTGGACAGAGCAGGCTGCCGCTGGGCATCTGAACTCAGTCCTTCTTCTTCGAGCCGTCGTCCTGTCCAGGGTGGCGTGCCGAGAGGAGGAGCAGCCGCAGGCTGGGCAGGAGGAGCAGCAGGAGGAGCAGGAGGAGCAGGACGAGCAGGAGCAGAGGAGGAGGGAGGAGGAGGGAAGAGGAAAGAGGAAGGAGGGAGGAGGGAGGACGGAGGAGGGAGAGGGAGGAGGGAGGAGGGAGGAGGGAGGAGGGAGGAGAAGGGAGGAGGGAGGAGGGAGGAGGGAGGCGGGAGGAAGGAGGAGGAGGAGGAGGAAGAGGAACAAAGGGGGGGAAGGAGGAGGAGAAGGAGGAGGAGAAGGACGAGGAGAAGGAGGAGGAGGAGGAGGAGGAGGAGGAGGAAGGCCACGGCCCCTGCTCCTAGAGCAGCAGAGACGCCACACGCATCGAGCAAGATGGGGAAGGAAGAAGGGGGAAGGAGGAAGGAAAAAGGGGGAGCGACGAGGGAGGAGGGAGTAGTGAGGAGGAGGAGAGAGGAAGGAGGAGGGGGGAGGGAAAGGAGGGAGGGGGGAGGAAAAGGGAGGGAGGATGAGGAGGGAGGAGGAGGAGGAGGAAGCGGGAGGAGGAAGGAGCAGCAGGCTCGGGGAGGACGCAAGAGGGGGATAGCAAGGGGCGGGTAGCGAATCAGCTGCGTGCGGTTGGTTTCCCCAGCGCCCCCCGAGCGCCGGAGGCGGCCACGAGTCGAGGGACGGTCCTGGCGGCGGAGCTCGGAGGAGGGCGAGTTGAGACAACGACAGCTCAAAACCGGTCCTCGGACACCCCGTGGTCCAAGCGCACCAGCTTTCCGAGCTGCGTCCAGCCGTGGCGACGGGGGGGCCCTCCGACTGTCGCTGTCTCAGCGGGCCTTCCCCTCAGGAGCTGAACCATCTGCAGCAGAGTTCGTACCCCTCACCTCCCCCGGTCACCCCTCTGGGTCCGGCCCGACAGCCAAAGGAGAGCAAGAGGCGCAGGGGAAGGAGGTTGCCTGCCTCGAAGAGGAGGAGGAGGAGGAGGAGGAGGAGGAGGAGGAGGAGGAGGAAAAGGAGGAGGAGGAGGAGAAGGACGAGGAGGAGGAGCAGCAGGAGGATGGAGGATGGAGGACGATGCGGAACCGAGCGGGATGGAGGCCTCCGCCTCCTCCTCCTCCTCCTCCTCCTCCTCCTCCTCCTCCTCCTCCTCCTCCTCCTCCTCCCGCATGGAAGGGATGGGGACCTGCTTCCCTGTGCTGCCGACTGGCTCCTGGTCTTCGTCCTCGCTG